AAAAGAAAAGAAAAGAAAAAAGATAAGTAAGTTTAATAAGCCACTTCCTATGATGTGGACCTTTCTCCAGATGAAATTCTAAGTAGGATTTCAGCCAAAACCCAGCCAATTCTATTTTCTCTGTGAGAAGCAAATTCAAAAAGAGCTGAAGAACAAACAAATCTTGCACAGACGGGTGGAAATCTGGTACTTCGCGACTCTGAAGTGCCAGCGGGGCCTGGGACAAGCTACCGTTCCTCGGTCTGAACCTGAAAGCTGCCCAGGATGCAAACAACCCACAGCACCAAGCTATGGGCACACGTCCTGGAGGGGCCACCTCCACAGACTGAGTGGCCGGGACGCGGCCATGCCCCTGTCTGTGCCATCGTCACTTGGCTTTGCAATGAGCCTTCTGGCCTGGACACGCACTGTCCCGCCACACATCCCTACCTTCTTAGGACCTCGTTGTCACTGATGATGCTGAATCCATTGTGCATTCTGAATAAAGTTTGTTCTGTGCCTGAAACAAATTCACATGAAACCACATCAGGCGCCTGAGCGGCCCGGCGGGTGTAAGCCGCAGGCAGCTCTGTCAGCTGGAGTGAGAACCAGGGTACGGAGGCTCAAGGACACGGATTTCAAGTTTGGCAGAAACAACACCTTTATCTTCTGAAAAGCGCTAGAGTCAGCAGCCACTTGAAGCCTGAGTTAGAGAGATTACTCAGAGCGGCAGAGCTGCGCTGGGTGGCCCTGGACTGCCAGGCACAGCTCGCTGCTCTGCTGGCTCTACAGAGCCTGCATGAGCTCTTAGCCTCTGGAAAACACTGCCACTCTGGAAAACACTGCCACTCACTCACAGAGCTGATGTTTCTGGGAAACTGTGTCCCCATTCCAAACAGCCATTCAGGGCCATTAGAATGAACCTTACAGTTTATCTGGCAAAGTTCTGCCTCCGTTTCTTTACGGGGAGGGTGAAGAATGTTTGGGGTGAATGTGGCAGTGGCGAGCACGTGCAGGGTGTGTGGGCGATGCGTGGGGCGTGGGGAAGACTGTGTATATAGAACATGCACACTGATACAAATACAGCATGAGCCCAGCATGTGAGAGGCGTGGCAGGTGGATGTCACAGATGGATGATGGGACTAAGGGCTCTGCGGGTAACTCCTATCTCTGTGTGCATGTGTGTGATACATGGAAGAGGGCTGACAAAATATGGCGTCTGCTTAAGTTTTTAAAAGTTTATTATAGTAAACGATACCTTGCCTTTGAGACCTCTCAAACTGCTCTCCGCTCTTTCACACACACTTACCCCTTGTCCTTCCCACTTTCTAAAGCAGCTCTGGAAATCCTCTTTTGTTAATGTCTTCAAAGGTCTGATAAGAAAATGTGGCCAATACCTCTGCCAAACACCATCGGACAGAAAGGCAGGCTCGTAAAGACCCCGTGGTGCGTGCCCACCAACCTTCACGGGGTCTGGCACCCAGCAACTTCTGGCTGTTTCCCAAAGTCCAAATGCCCATGAAAGGTAAATGTTTTGAATCAATTCAGGATACAGAGCCAGGCCTGACACAAAAAAGGACTTCAGAACTGCCTCAGAAAGCAGCAGGAATGGTGGGATCAGTGTGTTCTAGGTAAGGGGGAGTATTCTGAGGCAAGCTAATAGCAATGTGTCTTTCACTGTAATACCTTTTTCTTTAATAACACTCTATCTACAGAGCATGTGCTCTGCTTGGGTTCTGTGTTGTGCAGTGTGTGTGTAGTTCACTGCACGTGTGCTGAGTGTATGCATGATCTGAAGAGAGGGGCAGGGAAGGAAGTTCTTCAATCAGTGTCTAGAGGAGGAAAAGGAGGATTCTTTTGCCTCTTCCAGCTGATTCCCAACCCCTGTCCCTGCACAGTGACAACACTGAGGAGGTCATACGCAAGGCTTACAGTCCTTCATCACATCAGTTAGGATCTCCATTCCTCCTGCATAGAACAAGGGCGTCTGGTCAGGCTTAGAAAGGGTTTCCAGGAGGTTTTTGGTTGTCACGGCTGTGCTCTTTCCCGAATTCAGTACCGCATGGGCTTCTTTCTCCTGAAGGTCTGCCTTCTCCTGGACCTCTACTTGGTGCATGTATTCTAGTACAACAAGGAGGAAACAAACAAACCAGACAAAATCCTCACAATCAACAACAGCCTACAAGAAATCACCCAACAACACTTCCCCAAAATTCACTCTTCCTTCCTTCCCTGCTTTTTTCGTTTCTCTTCCTTTCTGTTCTTTCTGGTTGTAGGTTGAAAAGTATAGAGTATTAAGACAATTTGAACACTTCTTCAGCATGAAAAATTTTGGAAACAAGGTGAAGCCTCATTCTTAAAGCATCTTGGAGATGGAGAGCAGCCTAAGACACTCAGTGGGAGGAGGGCTCAGAGAAGAGGAAGGTAAGAATCTAGAGTGGGAGGAGAGAGGAGGGAGGAGGGGCAGGGGCCTCTTAACAGGTAGGAGAGAAAAGGTGCTGCCTTGTGGCTCCAGGCAGAGAAAGCAAGAAGACACCCCACGGGGAGGAGCAGGAAGGGCAGAGCTCAGAAGCAGGACAGCAGCAGGAGCCTCTCACCTTTCACCTGTGCCTGCAGCTTGGGGTTTACTTCTGAGATCTTCTGATAACACTGTCTGGACTGGAAAACAGAAACAAGACCTTGAAGGGTGGTTGGGGGTAACAGTGATTACAAGGAAGACACTGGGCACCACAGGGCTTCGCTTCTTCATTATTCCACCTGGCTTCCTCTGGCTCTCAGAGCAGGCAGTGGCCATGGAGAACACAGTGTATATCTGATGCCTTGTTTAGTTTTTTTCAGTCCTGTGGGGCAATACCTATCATTTCCAAGCTCATTCGAAAAAAAAAAATATGTTGTTAGATATGGACTGTGATGAAAAATATATCCAGTCATAAATGTGTGGATCCTGTCTCTGTGGAATAGGAATAATCATAAGGCAAATGCAAAGCTTAGATATGATGTTGGCACTAAGACAGACCAGGAGGATCCTTGTCAGATAAGCCTAGAGGGAGGTGGAAATAAATGAAGCTGGCCACACTGTTGACAGAGATTCAGGAATAAGAGAAAAGAAGAGCCTGCACAGCCTGTGAGACAGCTGCAGGGGTCTATTCACCCACGGGACATGCTGACTTAGTTAGGAAACTGGAAAGGGAGGGGCTTTCCTCAAGGAGATTTAGCTAAGAAGTTTCTGGAAGAAGATTCTACCTCATGGGGATTTCTGGGTTAAGGCAGCAGTACCCATAAAGATAGAAGAAATGTAACCAGTCACCAAGAAAATAAACTAAGGAAACAAAACACAAATAGTGCAAAGTAATCTTGAAGGTTCAAGACCCATCCAGAAGCCAGAATAAGAAATGAAGGAGAAAAGTCACATTTATCCAAGGGACACTGTTGCAGAATAGGAGAACACACATTAAACCCAACTTCCCCTCAACCCCAAATCCAATTTGTCAGTGATTTCTGTGGGCTTCATCATCAATAGGTACCCAGAATCCTGTTACTTCTAAGGTTGGCCACATAGCTCAGCGGACTAAGCATTTGCTTAGGCAGAGTGCAGTGGCTGGGGTTTGGTCCCCCATGTGCCTTGCCGGTCTCGCCCCCAGGGTGTGTGCTGAGACACCAATTGAGACTGGGTGGGGTAGTGTGAGCCTGTAATCCCAGCTCATGGGAGGCTGAACACAGGCAGATCACTATGAATCCGATCTACACAGTGAGACCCTGTAGTAAACACACACACACACACACACACACACACACACACACACACACACAAACAGAATCCTGTTACTTCTTATTATGCCCATCATTGCCACAAGCCACTCCTATTTCAATAATTTATTTTATTTTTTTCTTTCTAATTGGTTCACTGTTCTTATTTTGCCATTCCAAAATATATTTTCATACAGATGCCAAAGCACTCCTTTAAAACATAAGTTAGAACATAATAGTTTTGTAAAAACCCTTCAATGGCTAGAAGGTCACTCATGGTATGAACCAAGGCCGTCTGAAAACCTTTAAGCCCTCTAGACTCAGTCCCATACTCACACCAACTTAAACTCCATGAAGAAAATTATATATTTATCATTCATTGATTCAAATCACTCAAGTGGAGAAAGAACAGATCCTTCACTAAATGATCCTAGACAACTGGGCAACTGCATGCAGCAGGATGGGGCCAAAGCCTTACCTCACATCATATACAAAGATGGCTTCAGCATGAACCCAAGATCTAAACTGGGAGCTAAAACTGTAAAACTTTTAGAAAAACAAATAGCTCTAAATCTTCATTTTGGGACACCAAAAGCTCAAGCAACCAAAGAGAAAAAAGACTTCATCACAATAAAACAATTATGTGCTAAGAAGAATCCCATCAAGAAAGTGAAAAAGGCAACACATAGGATAAAAGACAGTATTTACAAATCATGTATCTGATAAGAAATCTATATTCAGAATATATGAAAAATGTTCACAACTTACTATAAAAAGACAAAAAAAAAAATTCTCCCACTTAAAAGTGGGCCAAGCGTTTAAAAAATTTTTTCTTCAAAGAAGATACAGATGGCCAATAAGCACATGAAAAGATCTCACCGTTGTTAGTGATTTGGGAAGTACAAGTCAACACCACAATGAGATGACATTCACTAGAACAGAAGAAATTAAAAAGAAAGACAATACAGCGCACCACGTCCTGGACTTGTGGACATTTGACCTGCACACTGTCACAGCTGTATGCAAACCTCACACTACACAGATGCAAACAAACTGCAGAAGTGGCTCTTGTGTCTGGCCGGCACTGTCCTAGCTACTCTGCTGTGTGCTTCCTATACTGTGTGACAGCAGTACACTGCTCTGTCACAGCCCAGGGTATCTAGGGGCAAAAGGAAAGGCAGTGGTGGTGTGATGTGGCTTTCATATGCTTTGCATTGTGTATTTATGTCAAAGGTGTGCGAGACTCACTTTTTCAGCCCTGTGAACACTAATTTACAAGAACAGAACTCATTCATAAGTAGGGGACTTACTGTACAGATGCCAGAAAAGATGTGAAGTACTTGGGTATCTCATAAAGTGCTGAAAAAAATGCAAAATTCAAAAAGCTATACCTGTTTTGGAAGTTCCCAGTTCCTCAAAAGGTTAATAATAGAGTTACCCTATCACAGCAATTCTAGTCCTAGATATAGACCCACAAAAACTGCAAGCGTAAAAATATTGCACATGAATATTCATAGCTGCCTTCGTCATCATAGTCAAAAAGTGGGAACAACCCAAATATCCATCAGCTGATAAACTGTTGAATAGAATATGGTATGCTCATATGATGACATTATCAAGCAGTGAAAAGAAATGAAGAATTGACATCTACCGTGACTTGGATGAATCATGAGAATACTAATGTAAGTGAAAGGTATCAGTCATAAAAGAAGACATGTTATATGATTTCATTTATTTAACATGTCCAGGACAGGCAAATATGTAGAAGTGGAAAGGACAATGGCCGCCTAAGGTTGAGGTGTAGAGGAGGAAAAGCAGAGTGTTGGGAATGACTGCAGTGGTGGCTGCCCAGCTCCGAATATTCTAACGCCACAGACTGGCTACTTCGTGTAGGTGGCTTGGGCACTTATCTCCTTGGTGGGGCAAAATACCCAGCATCTGCCACTCAAAGGAGGACAGGCTTATTTTGGCTCATAGTTCAGAAATTTCAGTCCACATTCTTTACCCTTAAACTCAGACATGGTGTGGCAGAAGGGCCTAGGCAGAGGAAGGCTGCTCAAGGGACAGCAGCCTGGAAGCAGAGAGAGGAGGTCCAGGAGCCAGGGCAGGAATGCGCCCTTCCTGGCCATGCTCCCAGCGACTCCCTCTACCCAGGCTTGAACTCCTAACAGCAAGTCAGCTGTAGCACCCCCCTATGATTCAGTCGCCTTCTAAAAGCCCTACTCAGGAGTACATGCAGCTTTTGGGGACATTTTTTACTGAAGCTGTAACAATAGGTAAATTGCATGGTGCTTGAAATATATCTCAATAGAGCTAGTGTTAACAATATGC